GATCAACATACAACGGCGGGAGAGAGGAACAACGCCGGAATACAGTGGCGACGAAGAATCACGGGCGTCGCAGCACGATCACGAGCAGAAAGACTCGGATCAACGCGGCACGGTAGGAAGGGGAGGAATGTCACCGGAGGCAGGGGCGTGTAGACAGGGCAGCGAATCAACTGGATACACAACGGACCCACCGGAGATGACACAGGAGGCTGAAATCCAGCGGGATTCAGGGGCTTCTAGGAAGAGAGAGAGCACGGATCAGCACAGGAGATGTTCGGACGAGACATACTCGGAAGAATCGGTGCTGACAAAAAGGAGGTGTACGGACGCCGAGGGAGACGGGGAAGACAATAACGACAAAGACACGACACGATTGTAAAACGGATAGGATGATCACGCACCATTTATACAAACGAAAACAAAACGCGAACAGAATAAGCGGACAGCACAACAACGGCGACTGGAGGCCGAGGACTGCGACAAAGAGAAATATTATAGAAGTGAGAATAGTCAGCCGCGAGAACGAAACGAGTCGCGTAATCTACCCTCATAACATCGAGGCGGGTTTCTACAGGCGCGAGCTCACTTGGGAAGCCGCCACTCGGTCACGCGCGCCGAACTAAGCACGGCGAGTAGAGGAGAAGACAGTACAGCAGAAATAGGGCGATGCCGCGTGGGGGACCGTGGACTAAATATGTAAAGAACAGGGAGAATAGAGGAACATAGATGATAGTAAAGAAGCAAAACGAAGGGTACATAGGGGTGTATATAGGCAAAGAATGCATCGTAGCGCTCTCGCACCACTGCTTTTACAGAACTTGGAATCATGATCCATAACATCTACGCAGCGCTGCATAAAAACACAAACCAACCGATTCACAACCAGGATTACATGATCCGAAAATTCAAGCCGGGCATCACTGAAAGCACATAAGCATTAAGCTTCACAGTACGACCTGACACAAATCAATGCGAAGTATGACGGTAAATTAGTACGGCTCCCATCGCGACACATAACAGTGTAAGCAGCGAACGGACACGCCATTCGTGAAACACGAACGACGACTGAAGATATTTTTTCACGATCACCACCACTGCTACAAATCTGAAAGTAGTGCCACTGTAGCAGAAAGTATTCGAGGGACTTAACGATGCACAACAGACGATATACAGCAATACCGCTCGCCGAGCTTAAAACATCAAGCATGCCGGCAAACACTTAGAAGCAAGGAACGTACTGGGTGTTTTGTTTTGTGGGACACATAGCCAGCAATCACGCCTGACGAAACGGCGCACTCATCTCCAGCACCTCGGCAGTGTGAGTGCTCACCATTCTTGTTGCGGCACGCGACAGAACAAGAGCGTTACCAAGCCACAGCCAACAATTGGCCAGCTTATGAAGACCGACAGGTCGACCAAAATTGTGAAGGAAACAATAACCAACAGTGTTAAACTTCACGAAGGCTGCCCAAACCAGAAGCAAACACCTAAGGGAGATAACAGGCTGGCAAACGCTATTCAATCAGATGGCGCACAATATGCTATTGCCGACTGTAGAACGATACTACACAAACAACTGTACATGACGCGCACCTCATACGAGTATAGGATCGTGATCGGAATCTGACCATGAATTTATGAACATCTATTGACGAAGCCTAGAGAGCACCTTGACAGTCCTAACACAAACAGATCAACGACTTACTGGCTCATACCCTCCCATCCACCACTCGCACCAGAGATCTATACCAAGCCCTCATCCACATTCAAGCCGCAACTCCCGCCCCGTTTTAACTTTCCCTACGCCACCCATCCACATAACTCTTCCAAGTATTACACGTCCTTCGAAAGTAGCATGCTAATAACCAGCATAATGGACGTTTCCATTATTCTAGCACTTGTCTGCCCCGTGCAACAGTACGAAGGAATTTTTCACGACTATATCGGCTAATAACGGTGCGATATTTCTTACCCAAATTCAACGCGGGTTGTCGGCTTCTTACTACCATACTGGATAACGAAATAATGGCGTATCAGGAGACGAGGCAGACTACCTATCTCTTGACACCACACGGAGGCACGATGCGTGTAGGTGTATCGACAAAAGCTGCCAGCTATTCCTTGTGTCAACTAACGCACCGATTCTACCAGACAGACAACAAGATGTAGGGTGAACATGCAGCAATTCATCAAAGAACGCGAAGCGATCGCCAGGTTATGCAGGAAGGCATCGATTCTCGGCAACGAGCGACACCGCGACGGCGAGTTTGACGCTGAACAGGGAATTGATACTATCAACACCATCCCCGTTCTACTCCACCGATACGTACGCCCCGGGAGGACCAGGCAGCTTACAATTCAAGAACGAACAAACAAACATAAAGCATTTCGAACACCTACAAATGTTAAACTGGATGCGAGTCATCTCCGCTATTTCAACGCTACCAACCTACTACCCATCAACAGCAGACACAGCTTAAACAGTCAATATAACACCAGACGAACAACCAAAACGAAACACTGACATATGGGGCCTGAAGATATATAACCAATAAAAACAACACGGACAAGACAGCTTCCAAGTCCTACTCCTACTACCAGAAATATACTTCCGTAAGACTGGCAGAACCGCCGTCAAACGCACATAGACGTCACCATTCGACACTCGCCTCAAGCGATAAGAGAATTCACAAACCACTGACAATGCAATCCGAGGACTCTTCACGAGCTACCACCAGAAATGAGTATCGACGCAAATATCAGCTACTGCTACGGGTACTAACCGTACGAGCAATCGCGATTAATCGCTTACTCGGAGGGAAACGCAGAGTGTGCGAACAGCCCCACAGCACAGGAACAACACCAACAACAACAGCAACAACAACAACAGCCACAACGGAAACGAGGCCACCCACCAACAGCAACGGCACCTATAGACCTACATAGCACCTCATTAACTCACCTTCGCTCAGCTGGCGACAGGAGCGGATCCACACATAGACAGGACAGAAACGGCACCGGAAGGAGATAGCAGCGACACAGCTATTGAGAGGAATATGGCGTAGGAAATACTAATACAAATGAACATCATAAGACACAACCAAGGCGCCTATTCCTCTCAACCCGCGCGAGGCGAGCTGAGCGGGAAAGTCTCGTGAGACACGAGAGAGACGCACAAGCACGTCACCTCAAAGGGAGGCACGTTAACCAGCGACGTACACGCGGCTAGAAACAGCCGTTAACATAACAGCACCGACACCCGAGCAGTGCCACGGCTGAGGGACGCACATCACAACCATTTCGTGTCCCCTGTTGGAGAACAACAGCAGCAGAACGAGGAAACAAAGCAAGTTCAGCGGGTACGTCCCCATTGGCCTAAGCGGACCGAGGCTCGCACGCAACGTCTGGGCTGCATAAAGTAAGCGAATTTAAGAAGTAGCAGATTAGAGTGCTGCTGGACCAGGCCGTGCCGACGCTTAACACAAGACTCCTCCGACCGACGATCCGCAATAGCAGTTTAAACTATGTTTTCTATTGTTATGTTAGTGTTGTATGACTGTTCTAGATGTTGTTTCTCAATTTAACGATGTATAGAATTGGACGGACCTATGTGGGTTAATAATATTAGTTTAGCGTTGATTTATGGCAAGTAGATGTGCGGATGATGATTTAGAGAGTACGGTAAGCATGTAAGTAACAGCCGATTGTACGCAAAGCCCGCTGGGTAGTCATTAGCAATACATGACGCAATCGACAACGAGTGGCCGGCTGTTGCGATTGAATGTTAACGCGTGAGTAGCCGGATATTAATTAATAAATATATTATGCTGTGTGTATCATATAAATTTACTGTGTTGCTTGTTATATCACGGACTGGATTTTATATCCTCGCAGTCCGCGCACTTATTCCCTCACTCGGGTACTAAATAGAAGCATACGATCACGCCGTCACGCGTGGCTAAATAAAGTAAGCCACGCGGTGGACACTATCTTCATATATTGCACAGCGCTCGCGTTCCCAACACGCTCTAACTACTCATACTCACTCACTCACGTCACTCCCTCACTAACTCCTCACTCACCACCCTCACTAACTCCTCACACCCTCACTCACGTCACTCCCTCACTACCTCCTCACTCACCACCCTCACTAAACTCCTCACACCCTCACTCACTCACTACGCCCTATTATATATATATATAATATATATATATATATATATATATATATAGAGAGAGAGAGAGAGAGAGAGAGAGAGAAAGAGCGAAAGAAAGAAAGAAAGATAGATAAAAAGAGAGAGCGAGATAGAAAGAGAGAGAGAGCGAGCGAGAGAGAGACACCGGGGACTGTTTTGCCCTATCGTTGCCCTGTCGTTGCCCTGTCGTTGCCGTCGTGACCGCTCGTGTAACGTAAGACATGCAAGCAATGCGTCGCACACTATTAGTAAGCGCCGAACAAAAAAACCAAAGAAACTACAATAACCCATTCGCGACGAATCATCATCAGCTGTAGGCTCTCTAATAACACGAATCTTTCGCGTTACTCAATATTCTGACCCATTACTGACGATTCATGCACCCATTAGATTGCCTACATCACCACCGGCAGCGCGAATAGAAAGACGGGGCTCCGAGGCGCGCGTAACCTTTCGGCTGTTACCCAATATGTTCTGAGATACGTCGCGCGGCCCACACGTTGCGAAAATATCAATCTCGACCCGATTTGCAGTCGACGTATCAGATGTAACGCGTTCATGAGAATCATCGTTGTGACTGTTGATGCCTTGTGACGAGCGGGCAGTTATTAATGAGAACTGCTACGTCCGCTGCTCTACTTTACTCCGTAAATATTTAACTTGCTTGTCATTCACGTGACACGCATCCAGAGGGCGCTCGCGTCGGTTGCAGCCATAATTTCGCGCCGCACGCCACGATTATATTCGAAGTTACATTTGGAAACCTCGCTTGTAATGAAATTAATTATTTAAAAATTGACTCACTTCGTTTGAAGAGGACTTTCTGTTCATTATGAGTTTCCGCATTTGTTTGCCATTTTGAGATCCATTCTCGTCTGCGAATTTCGCCGTTCCCTCCTTCATGAGCAACTCTCGCGACGCCATCTGGTTGTTATCTTCGGAACATATGGCCGACAATTCTTGAAACAGCATGTAGGTTTCTCTGGAAAGATAATACGTACTTAATTAAAAATCCAATTAAACAATAATTTAATAAACTGCGAACTAAAAATTATGAAAATCAATAATGATACATGAAATTTAAGTAATTAGATTAGTATTAATTAGTTTAATCTTCGATGAGAACACGCACATACACACGCACGCACGCACGCACGCGCAAGTACACACTCATACACACGCACACACACACACACACACACACACACACACACACACACACACACACACACACACACACACACAAACAAACAGTGGGGTACTGACACAAAATGGATGAGAAAGAAGAGGAGGCGGTATAGAAGCAGGGGAGAAAAAGAAGAACAAGAAGAAGAAGAAGAAGAAGAAGAAGAAACAAAAAGGAGCAGAAGAAGGTTCGCACCTCGGCACGGCTAGCCAGACGCGCTTCAGCCGATGCACGGCGTTCGACTGCAGTCCGGACACGATGGCCTTGAGCGAGGAGAAGTTCTTAAGCAGACGCAACTCCTGCGCCGCCTCGATCCATCGCGACACGACCTTTGCTCGCTCTCCAGGCTTCACGTGATGCGACGACGACAACGATGACGATGACGATGACGATGACGACTGCAGCACCGTCGATATCACT